TATTACTGTATCATAGTATGCCCAATACAAATCTGGATCATTCTTTCCAGATCGGGCGAGAATCGCATCACTTCAAAGCAATGCACTGTTTTAGTAGGTATATATTAGCCGATGCCAGTGACGACATCGCCGCCGCTAACGACCCGGATCGGTCGCATCGGGTTCCCTCTTGTTTTCCCTGTTGCCGTTGCGCGTATCCTTCCTCCTAATAGATGGTAACACATTGTGTCTGGGGGCTAGCGTTCATGCTAGGGTCCCCGGTCAATGACCCTCATCAAAGAGGTGAACGACCGACAGAAACAGCTCCAGTTGCGGCTCAACCGTTGGGCCCCCTCCAGCAGTTGAGCGGGACGGTAGCCTGCTACCACCAAACTACACCAATCAGCAATTGTATGAAGGACGGAAGTTGTCCCGACGACGCTCCGTTGCTGCTGTTGTTGTCGCCGCCGCCGCCGCCGCCGCCGCCGCCGCCGCCGCGGGTATTGCCGGTCGTGTTGACGCTGTTGCTGTCATTAAGTTGCGCGACGCCATTTTACAATCCAACAACTCTCCTTTGGACGAAGTTCTCTTATGCGCGAAGCAGTTCTCTACTCATCCGTTTCTCGGTACTTTTCGCTAGCGATGACCGCGTTGCGCCGTACCGCGAATATGATGTCAACAGACGCTACCGACGCAAGCACGCGAGAAGGTCTGCAGAAGTAGTTCTGAGCCCATAGTAGTTCCACGGGAGTAGTTTTGAGCCTTCAGAAAAAGAAGAACCGCTTTAGCCAATGTTGACGATGCCGAAGAAAAGCGAGAGTAAAGCATCATTGAATCTGGGCGGGTCATTGACCTAAGCCGTGGGCCCAGTCGAAGCTCGGGCTGACACTCATCGACTGCTCAGGGGCGGGCTGCTACAACTGAGTAAAGAAATGAAATAGGGAAGTTCGCAGGGGAGGAAGAGGAGCAAGGGATGGACGTGGTCGCAAGTGCGGCTCACGGACGAAACGACCGCCGGACAACCGTAAAGTCAACAATGAGAAGAAAAACGAAACCACAACAACAGGATACTGCTATTCCCCCCACCCCATCCATCCATCCATTCATTCGCCTAGTTATAGCTAAATGCTGCAGAGTTCGAGAAAAGCGCGGACGGGGTCAGTGGACCAGGGGCCCCATGGGCGGGAACAGAACTGCCAGCAAATAACAGTGTTAAAACCAATGCTGGCGTTAGCGTCTCCATAACAGCAACAGTGCGGTAGAAAGAAGTTATAAACGGAACCGCTTCAGACAGAGTTAAAACATTTAGTAAAACGTAGCGAAGCATTACAGTCTTTCCTTATAGATGACGTCCGAAGCACAGCAAGAGCTAACACCTGCCGCAATGGTTATAGCTGGCTGGCGGCGGGCGAGCGAATGGTGTAATATTTGCTATTATTGTTACATGTTATGTAGGTACTTTGGTGATTTCGCAACACCTTCTGGGTACAGAGGTTCGGTTCAATATTATAGAAATGATAGCCGTAGCGTGCTTTTGGTCGCGGTTGTGGGGCCGCATGGAAGATAGTTGGTTGACGCATGTTGTTATTAATACTGTCGTACGGTACATAAATTTTTAATCGCCGTATTACCCGTAGTACACTTAGGTATCCAAGTAGCTTAACATTCATTTTATTATGAAGCATATTTTGAAGATAAGTTATATATGTTTTACAAAATTGTTAGGAAATCGTTTTGTTGACGCATATTACAGGAAGCCATTGAAATGGAACGAGTCAGCCAGGAACGTCCTGCCAAAATTCACTGACCTATTTTTTAAGGCATTTTTTTCAGATCGTCACTACTCGTTTAGGGTAATTCGAATAAATGCTAGCAAGAGTGATCTTTCTCACGTTCCACCAAACGTGCACGAGAACAAGCCCACCTAACCAGTAGTTTTTTAGACATCTAGTATGCCCTACCCTGCATGATGATTAAGTCAATAGTTAACATGCCTCGTTATCATCACTCTCCACACTGGTTTGACTGATGATGGCTCCGTACACGTCGCTGGAACTTTGCGGGTATTGCACCTCTCGAATCAGGTACTACTCTATTGAATTCACTCGTGGAATCAGTCTTTTACCCTTTCGTCCGTATATTGTAATAAAACGGAGCCCATCGCTATTGTTTTCTAAGGTATATTTATCACTCTCAAGAACTTAATCTTAGGTAGATAACAGGATAGCTCCTAACCATTGTCTCTATTCTACATCAATATAGAGCAAAGATAGTGCTGACCTCAGCAAACAACAATATCAGATCGAAGCGAGATTCAGGATCTCCTTATTTTACGGTCAAACACGGGTCCAGTTTAGGTAGAGCCATCTATACGAAGCAAACAAAGCCAGCTTGTTGCATGTTAAGGCAATCCTTTTAGCGAGTGTCTAAAATTGCTTGACAGCATTTCACTATTTGCCTTCTAAAATAGTACGGCAATAGATAGCATACATAATAGATGTCCACGGTGGAATCGACTTATACTTACTTACGCCATGGAGCGACGCACCTGGAACGGAGAACGACGAAACGATACCCTTAATCAGAGGTAGAACTTTGCAGTGAACATTTTTATGAGGGTTAGAAAACGCAGCATGAATAACGTATGCAGGTTATCGATGGTTGCATGTCTATCTTGTTCGTGTTAGATTTTGAACCGGGATACATCAATGCGGGTATGTCTTGTAAGGTTAGGTTGTAAAGGTCAAGCCTAGATGCATGTATCTAGGAAGAAGCGTTCTTCTGATCATGGATGTGTTGTAAGGGAACGTAACTGCTGCACAATTCGAAAATGTTTCTTTATGATGTATGTTGCTAGCGCCTCTAACTCTGCCGAAAGCGTATGCTAAAAAACCAACTTAAAAACGCTACTGGTTCAAACAAACCGCGATAGATTCATCTCTCTAAGCTATAAATTCAAACCTTGCGAATGATTCCGTCATACTTCACATTGGACGATAAAATGGTTGTAACTTTTTTAGCATATACGTATTCGACAATTGTTAAATCATTGGCTGCTTATATAACCAGGGTCCGTCTCAGGCGCAGCTCGATTTGTGAGGAGGCTACCCCTCGGGTGAATCTACCTGCCGATATCAAAAAAATGCTCCGTTCTACCTATATGCTATTTGTACAAGGCAATCATGTTGAATTCAGGCCACGATTACCGTTGCGCGATAGGCCTATGGAACCGGATTATGTTGTTTATTCCCACTTGAAGGAGCGCGCAAGGGCGGACGAGAAACGTTTTTGCCCAAGGATATAGAGTTTTCGAGTTCGAAGCTGAGGATTTATAAATGTATAATTTGTTGTAGAACGTTGAGTCAGTATCATAACACGCTACGTATGAGACTATAACATGAAATGGAGCCAAGCAAATGTGGATAAAACGTACATGTTGTACTTCCAGTATACTTGAGAGTTTAGCGCATCGTAATGTTAAGAGGGAAGATATTACATCCGTATGTCCTCAGGATGTAACAATCATATGCTTTAAAATCCTGTTCGTAAAAACGATTCACTTTGAGATTCTTTAAGTCTGCCTGACTCTTGATTGGCAGGAGATCCAGGCAGGAGATCTTGCCAGGAAATATCTACGGTTTTGGCAAACTACGTCAGCCACATGGCCATAACTACAGCACCTTAAAGTCATCGATGGCCGCTAATTTCTCGAAAGTGTTTTTTCGAAACAAAGCAAGATAGGTCTCACAGATATATGGTTATCAACATAGCATATACAGACTTTATCAGTAAACTACTACTACAATTAAAAATTATAGATAGTTAATAGTGATTTTCGAATAGCTGCGCTTACGGTAGAAAGCGTTTGACGTGTCAGTTAGCTAAAGGCGCTTACGTTGCTAACCATAATTTGTCTTTGAAAAGTTGGGAGGAGTAAAGGAAGGAGTAAAGATGCTCCTTGGACGTGTTTGACTTACCACAATCAAGATTGGTATGTTAGATAAGTTAGTCGTTGATTGTAGCGCTGATGCGCTCATGAAACGATGACGATTACCGTACCTTACTCTCAGTATACTATAGAGATTATAGAGAGAAATCAAATCGATCACGAAATTACTCAAGTGCATCTGTATAAATAAAATACTATAATAAAATATCATTCTCGGATCGTCGCCATATTTTGGCACCTGCTGAAAAACACCTATAAAAAAAAGCTAACAGATCACAGGGCGAAAGACCCGAAATGCACTAAAACATTCAATTCCTTCCTAAAAACTGATGCCTCTAAATAAGATATCTATCTACTTCTAGCAGCAACAGTATTTGAATGGAAGAGCTATTGGAGCCGCTGTGTACTAGTAGCAGGGCTGAATAACTAACTTCCAGATAGTTACTGAGCAACTTGTGCTTTAAGTGTAAATGCATATGAAGGTAATGGCACGCCCATTATCTTAGCACGACATGCAGGGAGGGGCAGTGTCGACAAGAAATAGCACCAAGTAAACGCCAGTGAACATATGAGGCAACGTCTATTGCCTGTCGGTAACGATGACGACAACGACGTTTGCTGTACGAGTAGATGCAGGACATTCTGCTTGAGGTTGCGAGGTCACTTAAGCTTGTTAAGCTTATTCCTTTGTAATCTGCTCCTGTGCTTCTCTCCAACAATCTGCTTGTGGCTTTAGGACTACACCTTGATAGGCTATTGAAGCTGGCCGATTGAAGCTATTGCGTAGCCGTTCGTCACGTCGACAGAGGCTACAGGTTCGTCAGAGGGCCGCCGCATGTCAACTTCAGTAGTGACCTATTTTACGGCTGGCGGCGAGCGCAGATATTATACCTAAACATACATATACACATACTGAGGCTGCAGGTATATGTATAACGCCATTAGCTCTGGTTATACAAGACACTTAGTGGTATTTTTGCGACATTACATAGCTGACTGGATAGTACGGTTCGCCTGAAATGAAAGGGTAGAATAGGAAAAGTAAATATACTTTAGGAATATGTACCTTCTGGACATCTGCTTGCTGCCATACAATGACGACGTAGCTTCTAACTAATTCGTTACGTAATATATCGGGCACAATTTTAGTGTTGATTTATTGAATGCGTTCAGAAGGAACGCATTAATAAAGGATCCAAGTGAAGACTGCATGCGCGGTCCGAGTAGCCAACTGTTGATGAACAATGGATCTTCCTATAAGCAGAAAATAGTTCAGTGTGTTACGTGTCAGCCCTGATTGAATTTATTATGTGCAATAACCGCACGGTAAATTCACATTATTATCTACGTGACGCACCTTTCGAGTACATGCTTGAAAATTATTGTTAGAAATATCTGAATATTCCGTCTTTCCCAGATTCCCAATAGACGGGGCGTAATAAGACCTACCATTATCGGTCTGTTATTCATCCTAAACGATACTCTCGTGGCTGAAATTATGATTAGCAATTCAGTCACTCAGTGTTACGTCAGTGATGCCGTTGTGCTGAGCGGCCGCCAATGGGCACAGCTTTGGCCTTGTCCGCCAGCCTCTGCAGTAGCAGTAACGGCGATAGTAGCAAATGGCCGCTTGTACTGAATAGGCCGTGTAACAGGATAATGTAGCACGCCGGACACAGCGGGAAACAGTTCAGCTCAAGGCCTGACCAGGTAATTCGAGGGTTCGCTACGAGTACAGCTTATTTGCTGGTTGCATTCATCACTAAAGCGAGGGTAACGGGTACATTGAGCGACAGTCGAAGGTGCTAAGCACTTGTAGCTGTTACTGGGAACGCGTGGAAGAGGAAGGAGAACGAGACAAGCTATGGTAATTGTAATGCTTTGCGCCTCATAATAACTTGCGCCTCAAATACTAATCTAGTTATTTTCTGTTAATATCCGATTGGATCATGCGCCAGATGTACATAATAGAATAGTTAATACCCTGGAATTTAAGATAAGGATAACAAGAAGTGAAAGCTGAAGTTTTCCATTGACGAACAAAGTTGAGACTTGATCCACCGTTTAAATACAGTCAAGTCATCTATATGAAATGAGTTACGATGTACAAATCCAAACTAAGCACGAACGACCTATGCCATTCTTCGTGTATCTCTCACAGATTAGTTTCAGTCATTTTAATAGCTCCGCCATAGTCGGCCCGTTCGTGAGATTATTTCTACGCAAATTGTCACAGAAACAACCGGATCTCATCTAAGATATTATAAAGCTATGAGATTCCAGTAAGGTTAGAGATTTCTTTATCGGTCCTATATTGTCACACGTCGGGTACAATTGGATCACGCATTGAAGGGTTTTCATGTGTCGTTTTCAGAGGTACCGTCAAACTTCGCGCCCGTATCGATATTTTAAACTGCCCTTTTCGCCGACTGATACAAGAATTAAGGCTTCTAATAGCAAAATCAAACAGGGTAGTGGACTTGTGCGGATTGTGGTGCGGATATTAAGAACGGATAAAAATAAAATGAAAAAAAGTGAATGAATAGCGGGACCGGGATCTGGCTACGTATCCATTTTGACTATATTGATATTAGCGTTTCGACTACAGGTTTGTATACGGATCTGATTGTAGACATATATCCTCTATGCCTATTTGTGAGATAAGTCGTTCTAACAAGTATTTAAACAAACTGTATACCGGAATATTGTTGGGTAATCACAACTTCGTTTAAGAGCATTATGAAGTTCGACATACGTTGGATATCCAGGAAACAGGGTGCCTGTAAGTGGTACGAAAGAATATTAGCTTAACTTAGAATGGTCTATTCTGGCGAACCTTTAAACTTACAAAATCCAATTCAATATGATTTTGGCAGATCTCATCTCAGTCTCACTTTTACAAGTGTTTGGTTGCTTGGCAAATTCGAATTGAAGAAGAATAACACTTCGAGCTAGGCTATATTTATTCGCTAGTGGTCTGATCTTCTCAATAGTTTTTTTTTTTTCAAACATTGAAGAAATTTATTACGAATCGGAAGAAAGGAAGACAACGCTAACTGTTCTACATATATAGTTTCTTATTTTCAATAATTGGGTCACATAAAATTTACAAAAAAAAGCAATTGTACGCATCTACTTTTCGGTGTACTACGAAAAGCTTCAAATGAAAAGAGTGGACAAAGCCTTTACGCCTGTGGTTTTAAATTGATTGTTTTTCTGTAATGCATTAGATAAAAGTTAGCTATCTCGGCTCGTATAAGCAATACTAGTTTCATAGTATGATAACCGTCTCAAAGGTACGTATCGTTTGCAGACTTTTAACATGAACAATCTCCAGCTGATAAATAGTCGAGTCTGAAGAAATTTTTAAACCTACCTACCTACCTACCTACCTACCTACCTACCTACCTACCTACCTACCAGATATCCTCGAGGCGCTCATACGACAACGGTGACTATGCCTTAATGAGGCTATAATTCGGGCCGAAAGCATCCAAAAATGCCCATAAACAGTGCATTTTCGAAAATCTTCACATGGAGACCAACGTCTACTAGCCTGACCATAAGAAGTAAGGGGCGGTACTATCGAGTAAATGAAGATACGGATGAACAACAATGTCTGTTAGATGCATTTTGCTGTTATCGGCAACTAAATTAAAAAAAAAAAGAGTGAAGCGATAAATATATGTCCAATTCAGCACATAATAGATTCCTTTCGTGTAAATCTCCCGCCAGCCATAAGTCAGTGCCGGAAGTAGCAAATTACCTAACCCAGGTACAGTATTACGCTGCTGTTGTTGTACATATAATATACGGGACAAGTTAATGGTTGCCATATTGACTCCCGCCGAATGTGCCATCACTCTTCAGTTATCAGGATAAGTTACCTGTTCGTCGTCATGAACATAATTATAATTACAATAGCCGCCTGCCGTCGCATTCACGAACACACATACATACAAACGCTTAGTTCTAGTAATAGGGGTACTGGCTTCCAGTCTATTAGAACGGCTAACGGCGGTATCAAGGTACGTAAGGTCTCAGTCATTTTGTAGTATAAGTCCAAGTATTCCAGCATAACACCGTGGATGCCGTTCAGACGTATTCAGCTACCGTATAGTAATCGTGCTACCGTGCCCGTAAATCGTGGCCAGGTTTAATTGTTTGTATAAATATAGTGGTAGTAGTAGCAATTGCAAATGCGCACATATAGACATGTATCTGTACGTATGAATATCAAGAAGGGGCTCAATGAGCCTTTGCGGCATGGGCTGTTAGCGCGAAGGCTTTCGTAAAGTCTATACAGCCTATCTAATACAAGGGCATTTTAAGCGTCATTATCCATTATCCACCATATTGGTAAACGACAAGTCGTTATCCACGGCTAAATAATAACTAGACTGGCTTTATCTCCGCGAAAATTATGGTAACTCCTCGTTTTTCTTGAACTTTCTCACGGGATCACAATAGTCGTGTACGTTTTTCATACACTGGCTACTTGGATCAGACCTTGCCTATGACGTGTATATAATTCAACTACTTCAGGAACTTCGGCTTGAGATGTCGGCATGTCGTAGTTGACGCGAGCTCGCTCACGGCTTTACTGATTAACGTTTCTATCTTCTGATATTTGTCGAATTTTGGCGTAGTCTTTTTGGTCTGGACTTTCTGCAGTTAATCCAGCCAATCAAAAATCTTAGTTCATGCAACATTTATCGGGGCCGACAGTTCTTCAAACGATTCATCTTTTTTGCTTACGCTGTCTAACGGTTTATGATGCGATAAAACTTACTTACTTAGACTGCACAAAGGAGCATTCTTCGATGTGTCTCTGCCTGAGTGTCGTTTGGTATCCATGTGAACACTCATTCTATTGTTGGCAATTCCAAGAGAACTTATTTTTAAATAAACCCGTACTTATAATACATCAGTCCACAATCCATACAACGGTTCGTACGGATATGATACAGATTATGCCTATGTCGTTTGCCTCCCGTACGTATGATGGTATGATGGGTTGCAGATGTTTGTCGTCTTGTCTGCGATTATACGTCTTAGGATTATACGTCATGCCTTTTTCCGTACGTAAATTAATGTATCGTATTAAAATAGTCTTTTAGAAATTGTAAAAGTACTCTTTTCAACGAGACGGGTCTGTGATGAACGGTTCGTTTGGTGAGGTTGCGATGCACCGTTCCGGTATGTTCGTTGAAATTATACAGTGAATTCAGGCTTGTGATATCTTTTAGTTGTAAATAGCGATTTGCGGCTCAGGCTCATTGTTGTCACAGTTTTTTCAGCTTTGGAAATTGATGATTTTTTACCCAGGTAGAATATGTGAGGTATATTGGTGGTAAATTCAGGTTTGGTACGATCACTTTTGCCTTGCCTTGACCATTTACTGAATCAATTTTTAAAAAGTTGTTTGCGATCGGAAGTGAGGAAAAGCGTTCTGAAGTCGAAGTTCACTGCACCACGTTTCTCAGATATTAGTTTGTTTAACTGCACTTGATAGTCGTATTTTGTCGTGAAGTAACCTCTTTAGCTTTTTTTTAAAATACATTGCAGCGACTTGCTTTTGGAACGCGCTTTAACTAACGCTCGAATAATTATAAGTTTAATTAACCCTCCAATAAGAACTTTTCCAAATATTATGCGAGGTCCATAATTATCACAATTCTACTTGTTCTGTGTATATACGATAGCTTTCATAGAAAGGTATTAATCAAGCATCGTTTGTTAAAGTATCCTCTTCTCATCGAGCATTCTAGCTACTTCTTGTTCACATATATATA